ACACTACACCATAGGGCCCACTGCATTTCTGACCAACACCACCTAGCCAGTGAACTGGAACACGTACACCAGGACCTTAAGATGAATGGATATTCGGACTGTATTATCCGCAAAACTGTGTCTCCAACCATGGAGAAACATTCCCCTGTGACGCCGATCAAAACCATTACGTTACCATACATAGCAGGCGTTACCAAAAATATTTCCAAAATGTAAAAAAAAACACAAGATCCAGGTCCGATTCAGTACAGTACACAAAATCCGTGATCTAATCCCTTCTGTGAAGGATGTCATTCCTGACATGCAATATCCTGGAGTCTGCAAACTAATTTGCACCTGTGCTAATTGTTACATTGGGGAAATGAAACGACATGTCTCGGACCGTGTTCGTGCGCCCAAGGCAGATCTGAAACACGGCAGAATTAATACCTCCACCGTAGCTGACCATTGCTATAATGCTGTGGGCTCTCATGATACAGTTTTTTCCGAGACCAAGGTGCTCTGCAAACAGTCGGGCTACTATCAAAGATTTGTTCATGAAGCCATCCAGATATATAAACATAGACATAACTTCAACCGAGAAAATGGATACAAATTGAGCAATCATTGGAAGGATGTTATTAACCAGGTAAAACCATTTCGATTTAAAGCTTTCGTGACTGCAGGGATTCATATTCTGGGTTCTTTCAGTAAAGTCACGTAGAATGGGAATAAAATAATAAAAATAATAACAGAATAAAATTCTCACGACGTTTTGGCCACAACACAAGTAGCCTTCCTCAGGTTAAGAAACAGGACTGTCCGGAAGACAGCGCTTGAGTGAACACTGCCAAGCATGGACAGCGTCTTTTAAGCTGTGTGGGAGGAACAGAGCGCCTTGACAAAAGAGTTGACATAAAATTAGCATGTGATTAGCACCATGGAGAACGACGAGCTATGTTCAGACGGACGAGGGAAGGGGGGAGAGGAGTTTACATATAAATTAGCATGTAACTGGGGGACTAGCATAATGTTGGTGTGAGGGATTAGCAGCAGTTTACATATCAACAGTAAATTATAGAGTTTGTGTTCAGACGGACGAGTCCATCTATGCTCTGAACGGAGGAGGGGGGGGGGGAAGAGGAGGAAGCAGCACACGGTGCACTGCTGTGTCCTGTGTTGCGTTATAACTATGCTATAAACTTGACTACTATACAATACAATATTATACCTTCCAATCTAAACTACATTGTATAATATCGTATCCATAGACAAATCCCACCCTTGAATTATATAATGCATTACTATACACTACCCTATATTTTAGACTATAAAATATTATACTTGTAGTATTACACTATGCATTATTCTATTATTAACCCTACTGTATACCACACTGCTGTATATTCACTATACAATTATGGTACTATATATTGCATTATTAATTATGTTAAACATTACACTGTTATACTATTTATTATTATACAAATGCTATAAACTATAATATTGACCGTCGTGTGATAGGTACTAATAGGCAGTACCAGCGAATGGACTGCAGGCGGAAAGTCACCGTAATATACTATCAATCAAGAACCGAAATGGTTTATAACGTCTTTCCAATCATTACTAAGCGAGAATCCATCTTCCCTGTTGAAATTGTCTCTGTGTTTGTATATGTGGATAGCCTCATGAACGAATCTCTCATGGTAGCCGGATGGATTGCAGAGGACCTCCGTCTTGGAGAAGTCAATGTCATGTTGGCCCACTGAATTATAACAGTGATCTGCCACTGCTGAGGTGTTCGTCCTACCGTGTTTCAAGTCTGCTTTATGTTCACGGATGCGGTCCGAGATATGTCGTTTGGTTTCTCCAATGTAGCTGCCACCACAGAGGCAACATAGTTTGTATACGCCTGGGTCCTGTATGTCTGGAACCACATCTTTTACAGACGGAACCAGATCACGGATTTTATGTACTGTGTTAAATCGGAACTGGATCTTGTGTTTATTCAGGATTTTGGAGATCTTTTTTGTGACCCCCGCAATGTAGGGTAAGGTGATGGTTTTGAATGGCTCCTCAAGAGGATCCTCCTTCATGGTTGGAGTGATGGCTTTGCGGATTGTGTAGTCGGAGTAACCATTAGCCTTGAGAGCTTGGTGTACGTGCTTGAGTTCACTAGCAATGTGTTCCTGGTCGGAAATCCACTGGGCTCTATGGCATAGACTCTTGATGAGGGAATTCTTCTGGGATGGATGGTGGGAACTTCTACGGGGAAGTTACCGTTGCATTTCTGTCCTAAATGCACACCCCAAGCCTGTTCCCACCCCTCCCCCCCCCCCCCCACTTCTGTGTATGTGCAAGATGTGCCTTTTAAGCTGCTGCAATATGTTTTTGTTTTGAGCTGCCACTCTCTCTCTGGCCCCTCCCAAACTCCAAACCTTATTTCCTATTTAAGCTTCTGTTCATCCCTCTCTCTCTCCTTGCCTCTCTGTCCGTCTTTCCTACTGATCATGTACCTCGTATTTTCACTGTCTATGCTGGTTTGTGCAATCCAGAAGTTGAACACGAAATTTAACACTCTTCTGAAATTCGTGGTCTGCCAGGAAGTGTCTAACTGTGTTGTTGACCTGACTGGATGTGCTTCACATAATATTTTTTCAGGTTTGTTGAATTCTCGTCTCTCATCTTTTGTTGCATTTACCTCCGTGATTTGTTCTTGACACCTGATGAAGATCGCTTGCGTTGTGATCGAACATCGTGATTGTTTTTGTCATAATATCATTTTATTGTATTTCTACATACGTGACTTTACCGAAAAAACTAATGAGTATTTTTTTGCAGTCACGAAAGCTTTAATACTTTATTATTTTAATGTTTGGTTTGATTTACAATATCTTTCCAATGATTGCTTAATTTGAAACCATCCTCTCGGTTGAAATTGTGTCTGTGTTTGTAAATCTGAATTGCCTCGTGGACAAATCTCTGATAAAAACCCGTCGGTTTTCAGAGAACCTTGGTATCAGAGAAAACTATATCGTGATCATCCACAGCATTGTAACAGTGATCAGCTATGGCAGAATAATTCGTTCTGCCGTGTTTCAAATCTGATTTGTGCTCGCGAATTCGGTCAGAGACATGTTCTTTTCGTCTCCCCGATATAGCAGTCACCACAGGTGCAGCCATCCTTCACAGATGGGATCAGGTCACGGATATTTTGTGTACTGTATTGAACCCCCCCCCCCCCCCCCCCCCCCCCCCCCACCATGCCGGTCCAGTACATCATTTTATGCTTATTCCCTTGTCAAGGCGTTTTTTGTTTCCTCCCACACAGCTTAAAGGACGCGACCTGGGCTTGGCTGTCTTCAATCTAACACCGTCCTCTGGACAGTCCGGTCCCTTCACCTGATGAAGGCCACTTGTATTGTGGCCGAAACGTCGTGATTTTTGTTATTTTATTTTTACCTACGTGACTTTACCGAATAGAACCAAAGAGTATGGATCCTTGCAGTCACGAAAGCTTCAAATCTAGAATTGCACACACCAATCACACGCACGGGAATGCAGTAGACGGGGGTCAAGGGTTAAGGGACACTGACGTCACACGAACTCGGCGCGCGAGATAGAGATGTGGATTGGGAAGGAGGGCGGAGATGGAGGGTTTAAAAGGGGCTGTGAAACGCATGTTCGAGGTTGGTTTGAGGAGCGAGTGTGGCTGTGGTTTGAAGAATAAAGAAGTGCTTAACCAGTCTCCGGCTCCTCTCCACAAGTATAGATTAATTACCTGCACAAACGGAGAGGTAGTTTTGACGTGTGAGCATTATGTGGACTGCGGAGCCGTCGTGCAACATTGCTCCCTATTGGCTAAGAGAGCGCATCTAGGAATAAGCTCACTTGCCATTGGTGGAAAGAGATGAATTACGTCAGACGTACCTACCGACACGGAAGGTGAGGGAGGTTCGGAAGGTGCGCTCAGAAAATTTGAGATGTGAAGAGGCGTGACGAGGGATGGGAAGAGAAAAGTGATTGGATGGAGAAAAACTGAAGAGAAAGAAAGGGAAAGAGAGAGGAGAAGAGGAACGGAGAGGCCCAGGGCGCTTTTGATGGTGGAAGTTGACGTGAACGCAGGCTGCAAAAGATAATTACATCTTCTCACACCTTTTCTTTAACCAACGTGTTGGAGACGTTACACATGTAGAATCATTATAATTTAATGTTTACTTAATGATGTTAATTGCTTTGATGTAATCATATAACTTTAATCATATTAGTTGTATCTTTACTTCTATTACAAATTTCACTATTACAGCCTACGACACTGTTGAAGAGTGATAACGTTTCAATTCGAGGGCTTCCTGTTCAAATTATCAACCACGGGCCTGTCGTCCTTCAAGGTAAATACAATGAGTACAACTCAGAACGTCAACTGTAGTGGTCTATGAGAGATCTCAAAGGAATGTGCCATTTCCATTCAAGGTTTATTGCCGATAAATGTTGGAAGCAACCCCCATTTGTGTAAGCAGGGTAACGTTTAATCTTACTTGGAACACTACTTAGGCCAGTGATTTAAAATGAAGCTGCTGTCTGTGCATGTATAAGTGTATATATATGAAAAATACAAGTAATTTTAACAACTCTGAGCGGGTAAAATAACAGTAAGTACTTAGAGAAGCCTAAACTGGGGAAACGACAGCCACCGAGTTTGTTGAAGCCAGCTCGAGGCCCAATATGGCGCGTGCGTGCGATATTACTGCGTCTGGATGCACATAGATAATTCGTCTATGAATCAGCTAAATGCTACCAAACAGGTCATCTGCCATTAACTGCAATTTTGCATTTTAAATATATCTTATTTTTTTATTTTTAAAAGCAGGAAAAGCAAAAGAACACCAGTAAATGCTGGGCCATTGTTTTTTTTTTAAGTTGTGATACCATTGTTGTGTTATCGCTAAAATGTTTTGGTACAATGTTTCGGGAATGCATTTCCCATTAATTAGTAAATGTGTAATATTAGCAATTCTTACCTGTTGCTTTAAACCTCCAAAGAGAGATGATGATGATGATGATGCTGATGCAGGCGATCACCACCATTATAAACAATCCCCCGCGCAATGCAACTTTGAAGCATCGCCACAGAAAAGACAATAAGAAACGTGTTAAAGGAGAGCCATTTTTAGTGGTTATACAGCACAAGTACAATTTAAAACATACTAATCTAATTGTATTCGGAAGTACATGATCAAACGAAATAACCTTTGTTTAATTTTATAATTAAGCTTGCTAGTCAGAATAAAACAACATTTAAATAATTATACTTTGATATAACATTTTGCTCCTTTTCTAACCGTTTTGTGAGGATATAGATGCTAGATCATTGGTACAATTCTCTTAAATCACTTTTCTATCACCCCCTACCCCCATACTTCTCTGTATCCTGCTTAAAGTTAACCACATTGCACCTGGTAAACCCATTGATTCGCAATTCTACTCTGTTTCCCAGCAATGGTGTTCCTCCTCTTGGGAACCCTTATGCTATAATGTTCATCAAGGTTCTATACTTGGGTCACTTCTCTTCTACAGTAATGTTCTCTCACAAAAAAACACAATATATGCCAATTACCCACAGCAGTATATGAACATTGAATGTCTATCTGACTGCTCTTGTCAGTTATTTTATCTAGTCGACTGATATTTTCCGAAAACTGATCTAATTGGTAGGAAGTGTGTCCTAAATCACAATCCTAAAATATTAAGACATTGTCTTCTTATTCCATTCTCAAGAAGGTTAGTGTTTGTAGAAATGTGTTCATCTTGATTAAAGGCAATAATCATCAGATTTTAAACAAACGTTTCCCACTTTTTATGAAAAACATTTTTGTAGTTTTTTATGTTGTAAAGTGACATTATCTGATGTAAATGTTGGTGAAATTATGTCACCGTCGCTACATCGACCCGACTATCTGCAATTGACAGGGACAGGGAGGTGTCGAGTCCTTGAAGGGAACAAAGTTGGAGAGTTCAGAATCGTCGTTTTCCAATGTCCTCCACCGTTTCCCTGCATGTTTCACACCCCACCCGCTGCCAATAAAGTAAGCGAGGATAGAGGAGTTGTAGATAATATTGGCCTCTCCCCAAATTATCATCTTACCAGAGGGGTAAATCCCCAGGTGACACTTTAATTCAGCCTAGAACTGATTTAATCAATGCGGAAGCGTCTTCGGTTGGGCTAGCATCACACACAGACAGGCACATTGTGCTCCTGCACTCGAGCACGGTGGCCCTAGCCACAACTTTAATGCTCCAAGACAGTGACTGTGGTCGTGCACTTGAGTTGGTGCTTCATTCTCCTTAAACATCTAGCGACTGGTAAAATTACCGATTATTTTATTAGTGAGGCCATTGATAGTACTGCTCTTATGAAAACATAAGAATAGGTTTTAACATTTGTGCCAATAAAGCAGGTGTTAAGATGTTCAAACACCAAATATAAACAATTTGCAAGCATGTATAGTCATGATATGATCATGAATATAAATGCTCTAATTTTGCGTTGTCTTTGTTTGCATGTTCACCACGAGTAGTTGTGGTTAATGCAGACGTGATTGCTTGCAAAAGGTTTATCTTTGGTGTTTGAACATCTTAAACCCTTCTTTCATTGCCAAAATTGGTAAAAACTATTCTTTTTTTATACTTTGATGCTGGTAAGAAAGTTCCCATTTAGTACAACTCTTGTTTATCATCTTATTGTTCATGTCATTGATGCTTATATTATTGTTTTTTTTGCAGTTTATAGTAATATATGTCTTTCAAACTCTTGATCTTATTGTATTCTACTATTATATGTAATGTGAGTTGTAATGTTCGTGATAGTATTGTTAGTAATAGTACTGCTAACAAATTGATTTTAAAGCATCCGCTGATTTACAAGGAATTTAATTAAATTAATAAAAAAACATTGTCTGCTCACTTCTCCTTCGAGGGTTTCTGAAGAAATTCAATTTTTTTGTAAAAGTCAAAACCATTGCAAAACCTACATCACGTGCAGAGTTTACGATGCCCTATTGGTGGGATGGATCATCAGGATATTTTGATGAACACGACGTCCATTTCATGAGACCTCCTTTGCCAGTATTAAATTATGATAATAGGATTTTCCCCTTTCTGGCAATGACACAGGTGTTAAGATGTTAAAACACCAAACTGAAACCTTTGCAAGGAATCATGTCCGCATTAACAAAATATACCTGTCGTGAACATGCAAACAAAAACATGATCTGACAGTATGTGCATTATCTTTGAAACTGATTGGTCCACACCAGAGACAGCTTTCTTTAGAGCCTAGTCTCAAACAGTGTTAGACCAGAGGACGCCAAAAGATGAACAGCACAAAGACAATTCACTATCAGGACAATGAGAGCTCGGGTGAGCAGGAACATCATGAGACCTCCTTTGCCAGTATTAGATTATATTTAATTGTCTGAATGAGAATGATACTCCAGCTTCGATTACTCTAACAGCACGGGATGTATGTAACATGTAGTTTGACCTATAAATCAGTGCTATTGACGAATGTGGACTGTATTGGTCTTACCAAGGCTTACACACTGTCCATTCGATCTGTAGTATCCTTCTTTACATTGGCAAATTGTGTTATGTTCTTTCCTACATTCTTGTACAATCTCCTCTCCTAAAAAACAAATTAACATTTAAAAATCCACACAAGAAGTTAAAAAGTGCACGTTATTTTTTGAGATTGAAGCAAAGCATTCACATGTGTAGTGGCATCGCTGGTGTCACTGTGTAATTCAGGCCCTAGAGAGGCATGGCGTGCGATCTATTGACATCGCGGGCACCAGGTATATGTGGGTGCAGTACTGGCCCTAGAGGTGCTCGGTGATCACTGACTGGCAGTGCTGGATGGCACCACGCTCTGCGTGCAGTGCCAACCCCTACAGGATAGGGTGTGGGAGTGCCGGCCATGGGAATGGGGTTACTAAGGGCAATGGCACTCTAGTTAACCTCAAAGGACACGTGACTGGTAAAGTCTACACAGGGCCCCTAGGTGGGGGCTAGGGGTGGTCACATGTCAGGTTCGAGATCCTGCTCGAGGGTTCTCAAAAGGTGGTCGTGGCTCTGGGCGGAGCCAGCCACACCACAGAGCATATAATCCGGGTCCTCAAGAGGGACCAGCGATGTTGTTATCCTGAAGAAACCTACGTGCTACGTTCTACGTCCTACAGAGTCACCAATACATGGACCAGGACCCAAGCTGTGGTCCGGTCCGTCGTAGCTACTCCTGGTGTAATTATTGTAGTTAGCCTGGTGGTCCACCACCATTGGTTGTTATCTGGTTAAGGGGCAATTACCCCTTTGTGTTAGTATCAACAAATGTGTTGCGTCCAAAGAGTACGTCTGTGACTCAGTTGAACTCACTACACTTGATTCACGTGTCTTAGTTGCTGGGTGGCAATGCTGCGAACCTTATTTGCTTGCACAATTAAGGTGAAATAAAAATGTCAATATTACAGTAAAATCTAATTAAAATCACAACATTTCGATCGCAACACAAGCTTTCGTCTACAGGTGAAAATCGCGATAGCCGTGATGTCTACTGCGAGCAGCACGATGTCTGAAATACAGTTGACAACTTTGCTTTGATGTGCGTGAATCACAATTGATTTTACAACCATAATTGCTAAGATGTAAGCGACTAAAAAATATTCAGTGTGGATCGTTTCACTACCTGGCGGGTGATTGCTGGCTGCCACAGCAATGGACTTCACTCATGTCACATGTTTTGTCTTTGTAGTCATTTAGAAACATCTCCATTTCTAAATTCATTCTAATTTAAAATTATGTCCGTGTGTATATCCAGATGTTATTAAGGGATTGTGTACTGAACAATATCTTAATTGTACATCCAACATAACACATGTAAACGTTCTTCAAATATTTCGTATCAACATACAAAGTGAATTATCTAAGTATAAGATAGTCAATCTTTCAGTTCTCCGACTCTCAATTAGGGTACATGTCTTAAACATGAGCGAAAAATCACACTCGCTCACAAACAAACCAAACCATCTGCTCCCCCTGTGGTGTAAAGTGGGATAGATCTGTAGTGGACATTGAAAGTAAACGCCGACACTTCATATGCAGAAACTATTAGAATTTGTTTAAAGAAGTGCACTGTTCTCCTTCTGTCTTTAAGTACTGGTCTTCCTCCTGCCATCAATGTAAAGGCTAAATCTATAATCCAGTCAATAATTACATAAATTAAGGCTGGAGTGAGGTTGAATCAGTGCCGTACTCCAGATGTAGTTATACAAATCTTGGAGACAAGCATCTCCTAAGTCGAACCCTTGCTCCCGAGTTAGTGTGGAGGTCCCAAAGCAAGTTCATGGGTGGTCCTGGGACGCCCTTCAGCGTCAACGACAGTGGTTTTCTGTTCACTGAACTAAACGGGGACTGCAGGTCGATGTATGTATGTTGAACTTTTTTCCGTAGATGTATTCCACATCGAGCGGGTGGTCACGTTCTCGGTAAGGTTGGGTCAGCAGACTGACAGTGAGCACAGCATTAATCGTTGGACAACTAGCATTGAATATGGACTTATGTGGCCGTGTGACGTTTGCACAGGAGTGGGACCAACTTGCTGAGCAGCACAACCTGTTGATCAGCTAAGAAACAAATGCCTCTCCAATTTTAGAAGACCATGAAACTACATTTGAAGAAGTGCTTTTGCTCAAATTAATTTTGATGTCAACCTGAGAGACCTACAATTCACGCCAGGAATTGCTGGTGGTTTTCCACATGCTCAGAGGTGATTTTCTCTTTACACATTCTCGTGTGTTTGAAGCTCATAGTTTTCTGGTTTAAAGTATTCTGCTATCATGGGGTTTTCTCATTTGTTACATATTTTATTGGTCAGTAGACATCTCGTTTGACGCACGCGAATATATCAACACAATCATATGTAGAGTAAATCCCAGACGTATGTCTACCGTGTATACTAAAGAAGCATATTCAGGGAAAATGTCGAGGTTTTTTTTCCCAATAAGTAACTGTGGAAGAGCATGTTATCAATTTTTCAAAATTTAATATCTTATTGAACATTAACTATTTTTGAAGCAGTCACTTTGTAACTTGCACGTGACTAATTATGTATGTATACGTGTGTGGGTAATACTGCTAACCGTGTTCCAGGTAAGCGGATATGACATTATAGGACTGGAGTGGATGAGTGCTCTAGCAGTTTGGTGTTTGTGGTTGTAAACACAACGTCCACGACCCCCTCCACAGTCCCACATCCTCATGGCAACTGCTATAATGAAGAAAACGTTGGTGACTAACCATGGTCAAACAGTACAAACTGATAATATCGGGATCATACTCACCCTCTGAACAGGGTGTGCAGTCGAAGCAAGCAGATTCATTATTTGGCTTGTCAGTGTAAAAAATCCCTTCAATACATTGAATACATTTACGGATTCCTCCATCAGTCAAACAGTCTCCTGCCTTGAATGTTCCTAGGGGATGCAATACAATTAAACGATTACAAGAGTTCAAAGCAAAATGTCAGAGTTATCACTACAATACTGCAGACTTACAGTGAAGCAATATCTATATAAACATGTGGCATGCACACTGACAGGCATTTTGTTAATCCACTGGTCGATGATGGTCTCCCCACACCATAAATATGTATTTGACCATACTTAACCACGCCGGTCAGTGTGGGCTGGAGAACGAGCTTGGATGTGGGGCATAGAAGTACACTGTTCTCTGCTGCATAACCCGCATTGATCAGTGTGGTGAAGTATGGTAAAGTAAACTACCACATCTGACGTGGTGCTTACCACGTAGTTATGCTTTTAATAATTAAGCTTTACGTGTTTACTCGTCCTTGGTCTCTATCTGCCTTATTTTTGCTTCTTTTTTTGCATTGTCGATCCATGATGTCTGGAAAAAGGCCTGCAAATGTTAGTGAGGGAAACGTGACCAAAGTGTCAAAGGAAAGTATAACTTTGGATGTTACAATGCAAGTGATGTGGCGAGTCGAGGTGGTGAGCGTCAGGTCGATGTGTGTCATGAGCGTCAGGGGCATGCACTGGTGAGTACAGTACATCAAACTGATGATTTTAAATCTATATTTATTGTTTACTATATGTTTTATTATAAGAGCTGTTACCGATAACTCAATAGAGTCATAAAATATTGCTCATATATATGCAATGGTATAATAACCACATTTATCGCCAATTCGACTCGTGCTTGCTTCTCCAGGAAGGCATCTCTAGCGCTAATCAAGTTCTGCCTGTATTGTTATACTCTTGGCTTGTATTGAGTAGTTTGTGCTGTGAGTTAAATATGGATTTTAAAACAGCTTCTGATAATAGGACCAATAGGACTGACCAATCATACGCTCTAACAGTGGAACAAAATGCCAATCGAGTCCCTGCAATCAGAACGTGCAGAGCTGGTGTCTGTTTTTGTAGAACATTTGCATCGAGTTGTACCTGCAGGGCAGAGATCGCAACACACGTCATCTTCGGTTTTGTAGCTGTCCTTGGGACATTGTTTAGCTTCAGATCCTTCTGCATGCCGAACACCCTGAGAACACAGACAAGGAGTCATATTTAGTGAAGCATTGACACAACAAATCTGTGCCTGGAGGACATGGATGGAGACTATTTTAATGGTATTTCATTTCGCAGGAATATGACTTAAGCATTCATATTCTAATAATAGGGTTTCTCCCCTTTTTTCTGGCAACAAAACTGAAACCTTTTTACGAGGATTCATGTCTGCATTAACCACAATACCTGCAGTCAAAATGCAAACAAAAAACATACTATGATAATATATGCATTTGCCTTGAAACTGATTGGTCCACACCAAGGGACGGCTTTCTTTTGAGCCTCGACCCAATTGGTGCTCGACCAGATGACGCTTTTTGGCGTACACCTATACACGTTTTGTTGCCAGAAAAAAGGGGAAAACCCTATTATTTTAATTTGGTACTGGTAAAAGAGGTCTAATGATGTAGACATTCATATTCTATTGAAAAACACCTCAGATTGAGAGTTAAATTAGACAATTACTGCAGCTCCCCCAAATCGAGCAGTTAATAAAATTCAAGAAAACATTAGTGTATATGTCACTAATGACTAAATTGTATTTGTACATGTTTTTTTTATGCACCTTTATGGATATCCCATATTAATTAATCACGTGTAATGGTGGCCAACAACTTCAATCCAATTTCCGTTATACCACGCTGAGAATGCATGATCTGTAGTCTGGAATTTTACAGAAATAGCTACTATTTAATGTTATTGAAATGCAAATGCTATTGTCTTTCCACTGTAGATATCCATGAAACGGGTTTATATGAACTAGCGGTAAGTACCCGGCGTTGCCCGGGTGAAAAAGATAGACACACATCGACCCACATACATAGAAACACATGTACCTAGACGCACACACACACATATGGACTCACACAGACAGACGTCGACTTTAGACACACACACATAGAGTTACACACACATCGACTCACACGCACACAGACTTACAAACACATATCGACTCACACATACAGACATAGACTCAACAACAACAACCACCGTTATTTGCCATTAAGTGGCATTGACGTCACCACGATGCTTGTGGCAGGCTATGTGCACCTTGAGGCCACGTGAAGTGTCGAACGCCCGCTGGCATGAGGTCACGGGGCAGACCCAGGTGCCACAGGTCGACTGACTGAGATGACTGACTGATGCATCATCTGTGCCCTCTACTGTGCTAACTTTCTGTGCTTTAGCCACCTGGTGCTCCACTCGTTGTTCTGAGCGTGGCTTTTCCACCCTCCTTTGCTGGAAGGCGACTGCCTCCAACTGGCCAGTAGCGTCCTTCATGAGGCTCTGCCACAGAGGCCGATCTTGACACCGCTGGTACCAGTCATCGACAAGTCCACTCAGCTCTACATCATCCTGTACCAAATCACTCCATCTCTTCTCTAGCCCGTGATGCGCCCGTTTAGCCCCCTCGATCCGGCGGAACAAAAGCTGTTTAGGCATGCGTTGGCTGGGCATGCGGACTACATGGCCCAGCCAACGCAGCCTTGCCTGCCATAGGAGGTCATCGAATGGACTTTGTTCAGATCTTTCAAGGATTTGTGAGCTCCTCACACAATGCAGCGTGGTTAAACCCAGGATGGATCGTAGGCAGGCCAGCCTAAATGTTTGTAACCGGCGAAGATATTCCATTAGGGGGGTTCAAGTTTCGCAAGCGTAGAGAAGGGAGGCAATGACCGTGTCCGAGAAGACCAGGAGCTACATGCGGAGCGAGAGACCAGGTAGCTTCCACACAGTATCACGCAACCGATGAAAAGATAATGTGGCTCGACTGATTCGGAGTGAGACCTCTGCTGATAAACCGGAGCTGGTCATGAGCACCCTACCCAGGTATGGGAAACTCTGCACTCTCTCCACAACTGCCCCATCACCAATTGGGAGTTGTGGGAGTGGAGTGTCAGATGGTACAAAATACCCAGGCAGGTGCTTAGTTTTGCTGGGGCTGATGGTAAGGCCCCACCTCTAGGTGGCAAGCTCCAGGTCCAGCAGCAGCACCTCGAACTCCTCCTCAGAGTGAGCAGCAATTATCAGATCATCGGCATACATAATGTGGTTGACCAATAGGGAGCCATCCCTTGACCGCACCCGGGCATCGATCAGCCTTCCATTGTATCTGTACCAGATGGGAATTCTTCCGGTATAGGCATTGAAGGCTTAACGAACTACGTGGTCCAAATATATGTAAAAGATTGTGGGAGCTAGAGGACATCCCTGTCGCACCGCAAGGTGTAGAGGGAATGGCTCTGACTCATGGCCACGTAGTTTGACGTGGGGCCGCTCAACATCATGAAGGTCCTGAAGGATCGTGAGTAGAGGGCCAGGGACTCCAAAAGCACGAAGAGCAACCCACTGAGCCCAGGCCTACTGATGGTATCATAGGCCTTGAGCAGGTGAATAAAGCACACACATGGACTAACACGCACACATGGACCTACAGTCACTTAAAGAAATGGACAAACACTGACTAACATGGAGCCATGTACACACAGCGACTAACACACACACACATGGACTGACACACACACACATACATAGACTCACACAAACACATACATAGACTGACACACATTGCCGTACACACACATAGACATATTGACTCTCACACACAGACATATACTTTAGATACACACACATGGAGTTACACGCACATATCCACTCACACACACACATTGACTTAGACACACACACATCGAGTGACACGCACACATGTACAGACTTACACACACATGTGGACTAGAACACACACACACACAGATTGACAGACACACAGACACGCAAACACACATTGACTTACACACTGACATGGAGCCATGCACACACATCGACTAACACACACAGTGACTGATACACACACATGGACTGACACACACACTTGGACTGACACACACAAACACATCGACGTACACACACATTGGGCGTTCTCGGTTCGAATAAGACAGACACACACATGGACTTACACACAGACACATGGACCTACACGCACACACATATGTACTCAAACACACACACATCGACTCACACACACATGGACATGCACAGCAATCCCCGATGATGGCACAGCTATCAGCATTGCGGTACTACGTATCAGTAAATAGCGGGACATGAGCAATCGAAACAATAGAAATGCATAGAAGAAATAAGCTGATATAAGTGTACATAAAATAGCAGCAGTACGTACAGGTAAAATGAGAAGCAGACTACAGTCTAGATGATAGACTCCCAGTATGCCGACTCAATGACAAAACCATTGCTACAGTGGACACAAAAAGCTGGCAATACAGGCAGCAGCTTAAAAAGCAGGATACATTCGACATGAAAGGCTGGCAGTACACTGAGTGAAGTAAAGAGACAGGCAACAGATTATAGACTGGCATACACTTATAATGGTAAATAGGGAAATTAGCAGTGTAGAAAATAGAGTACCCCCCACCCCACCATCCCCCCGCCCGAGCTACAATAATCCTACAAGAAACTATGTAAGCGCTCTAATATTAGTATGTACCGACCCTAGAGTAGTAAGTGCACACATTGGGGTGGAGGGGGGAGAGAAGAGGACATGACACTTGGATGAATTTACCGGCATGTTTTCGTGTATTTTTTGTGCATTCTGAACGCGAAGGAGAAATCACGGTACAGACCCAGGTGCCATGAGTTAACTGACTGAGATAACCGGCAGATGTACCACCTGTGCTCCCCACTGGGCCACCTCGCTGAGTTGTATCCACCTGGCGCTCCACTCGTTGTTGTGAGCGTTGCTTCTCTGCTCTCGATACTCTGATAGTGTGCTGTTTTTGAGTTGTACGCCTTTTGGCGTCATCTAATCCAACACCAGTGGAAACTAGGCTCTAAGAAAAGCCGTCTCGGGTGTGGACCAATAAATTTCAAGGACAGTGCATATCATTTATAAGAGGTGTCTCTTTTGTGTTGTGGTTATTGCAAACATGATCCCTTGTTTAAAGGTGTCAGTTTTGGTGCCAGATAAAAGGGTAAAAACCTATCACTATATCTTGCAACTGGCAAAGGAGGTCTCATAATGTCTGTCCAGACCTTTCAATTATGTGTGAACTCCTCACAAAATCCAGCCTGGTTAAAAACAGGATGAATTGTAGGCAGGCCAGCCAGACCATTTCAAATGGCACAGATGTTCCTTCAGAGGGGTCTGCACTCCACAAGTTTAGAGAAGGAAGTGCATACCTGTGACCAAGAAAACCTGAAAGCTTTGCAAGGAGTGGCAGACAGGTAGCTGCCACGCAGCATTACGCAGTGGTTGGAAATATAATTCTGCTGGAATGATTCGGAGTGATATCTCTGCTGCCAAAACTGAGCGGTTGTAAGCACACTCCACAGTAACAAACTTCTCTACTCTCTCCAGAACTGCCACAAACCTTATGGCGAGTTGAGGGGTGAAGTGTTTGATGACACAAAATACCCAGGCAGGTGCTTTTTTTTTGGTCAGTCTCATAGTCAGCCCGACCTCTTAGTGGCATGCTCCAGGTTGAGCAAGAGAGCCTTCAATTCCTTCCCAGATTCAGCAGCAGTAACCAAATAATCAGCACACCCTTATTATTAACCAATAAGGTCACCGATCAGCATCTCATTGAATCTGTTCTAGATGGAAACTCCTCTGGTACAATTTTAATGTTGCTCTCAGAGACACCATCTTGTTGTTTGATATATATATATTTATTATGAATAAAGTCCGCTTACAACTTAACGAGTAACCGCGAGTGAATATATACACTTGGGTAATTTAAATACTATATTCTGAGACAAAGTAACACCAGCCCTTCAAGACTACATGGTGCCCACTCCAGGATGATGCGGACGACCTGCTCCAAGGTGACGGCGGCGGCGACGATTCCCCACAACAACAGCCGCGAGGTCAAGTTCGCACCGGCTCTTATTCCTCTCATGACCTGGCCACGCCCCTATCCCCAAACTCTCGCTCACCACACCTGGCCCTGTCAATCTCTG